AAAAACAGGTAACACCCATTAGAATATCTGAAACAAAAAAAAAAAAAAAAAAAACAAAACAAAAAACAAACAACAAGAACAACAAAACAAAACAAACAAAAAAACCAAAACAGAGCACTGGGAGTTCTTTTTGCTGCTATTCCACAGCAGAAAATAAACTGAGCTCTCATTTTTCAGGAGAATTCATATCATAATATGAATTCAACTATTTAACCCCTCAAAATTAGTTCTGGATCTTCCCAGAGTCAGCAGCAGCTTACTTGTTGCACAATACACACAAAAATGAGCACACAAACCATTAACTTTACATTAAACAATTTAGTTATTCAAATAACAGAACAAGCAACCTGAGCTTCAAATTCCAGTTATATTATTTGCATGCCCACATCAAATTGCTGACAATTATTAAAGGGACTCTGATTTCTCCTTACTTCATAGACAAGTTCATGGTGAAAATGGGGTACTTCCAGTTCCTGAAGGCAACGCTCAGCTTCCAGTACATCTCCGGAAAGCAAATACTCTTTCAGCAACATATCGATCTATTGAATTTTAAAACAAACAAAAAATCCCAACATTAATTAGATAAATTTAAAACCTGTCAACTGTTTTGATAATCCACAATCAACCCAGCAGCAAGTTAGTTCTTCAAACTTGCTTCCAGTCTTTTTATAAATGTAATTAAATTCTGGCATTAATTAAATTGAGACGTTATCAGTAACCTGAAACAAAGTGTAAGCCAAATACCTACCCACAGTGCTAATGCACAAGCTCCAAAACCACTGCTTTATAAGCTGTGTTGTATCACCATAGAAAGTTAATATGGGTGCCATTAAGTTTATCTGCTCCCTTGAACGCCTCCTCCTGTCATCTGTTACACTCACAGCCTAGACATTATTTTTATTATTTCCTTTAAACCTGCTTACTTCACAGAATGGATCCCTAAACACTCTGCCTCTCTCTTTTTTCACAGTTGTTACTGTGCTTTTGATCAGCAATGCCAAAAAATTGGTTTATCTAGTTTAGCCAGTTTCATCTTGGCTCTTCTAATTACTTCAGCATTTTATATTGTGAGCTCTTAAAAAGCTAAATGCTTAAAAGTTTTGCTTAAAGCAAAAATAAACATACACTTGCAATATAGAATATTATTGTACTAGCATGTTCCCACCAGTGACAAATACTACAAAATCAACGAAATTACCTATATCAGTTTTTAAAGACTACTTTGTATAAATGAATTATAAAAAAGAAAAAACCCAAATAACAAAACAAAACCAACCTCTTTAACCAGGTGTTTCACGGACTGTTGGCCCCCTCCTGACCCCCACACGCTGTCAATGCGCTTCCCACCCTTGCTCATGCTCAGCAGCACAGTCGCTCGGTCCAGCGCGGCTCTAAAAGCAGAGTCAGTGTTTTAGAACAGTATCACAGAACTTCATTAAAATGCATCTGCAACTTCTTCCATGGCCGTTTCTCTTCAGGCAAAACTACCAGATATCAGGGAAGAGGTCAGGGTTAGCAACTCCATGGGAACCTTGCAGCAACTGAGCTCCCTAAATTTTCTGCCACCTTTACACTCCTGGTCATACCACGGTAAGGTCAGGTAACAACCCTGTGATGGCATGATCTGAGTCATCAATGCAGACCCTGCAACATCCTCACAGAAAAGAGCTGAATATTTTCTTATGCAGAGATGGATTGTATCCTGGCTCCTCCAAGAATGCAGCTTGGCAGGTATATCTCAAACAAAGAAGGCCTGAGTTGCTGCCACACTGAAGAACAGCTTTTCTACTGAAATATTATTTTCCATTTGGGTCTAAAGAATTATGAAACCTTAAGAATTTAAGCCAAGAAAGCACTTCAGAAGGTAAATATGTAGTTGGGAAAAAATGGCACAAGCTAGGGATGCTTGCCAGTTTGTTGAAAAAAAGAAAAAAAGGGAAGTAAGGTGAAAAAAAAGAAGCCTCAGATACAGTATGTACCATCCAGCTAAAGAAGGAACAGTTATCCCAGTCCTCATGCTGGGGGCAAGCCAATAACAATAACTCTATTCACCAAGATTTAACGACAAGAAAAGACTGGCCAAGAAATAAAAAAGGCAACAAAGCATCCCAGATGTGCAGAATGCAGGCTACAATCCTTCCAATCACAGGAGACAATTGTCACAACTCAGACCCCCCAGGTAGGCAGCTAAGTATGCCCCTTCCTTCTAAAAGTGCTCAACTAAGTCACTACAAATGCCACTTCTAGAAGATACAGGAGTTCAGCACCTCTGTATCAAGCCTGAAACATATACTTACAAGAGAAAAAATAATAAAACATGACTCATTATTAAAACATCCCTCTTTGTTAGGGATTGCTCCTTCAAACTTCTCACACTGACATGGAAAACAATTACACTTCCTGACAAATAAAGCATTATAGGGAAAGTCTCAGAAAGCACTGCACAAGCTTCAAACCTTTGTAAGGCAAAACAATTAATCCCTCGTGTATTTCACAACATATTTACAGCAGCTGTCCTGATGCTATATTTACTCATTAATCACATTAAAGCTTTTTCTAAGACAAAACCTTCCATAACCACTTTTTGTTGCAGCTCATTTTTCACCCTCAAACATAAGCTGGACAACAAATCCAACAAACTGAACTTGTATATATTAATACATTTGTCAGGCACTTTCAGTATTTCTCCTCTGACTTGTGTCATTCTGGATTTTGTTGGGTTTGTTGCAGACTTTGCGGGGTTTCTTTATTATTTTAAATTTAAAAAAGAAAAGCTAAAGAACCATATGATTTATCCTGAAGTCCTAAATTCCTGATCATCACCTTTGACATTTGGAATATAAAATTGTCACTATATAGAAAAGAAACTTACCGAGCTTGGACACAATCCACAGTGCCTTTGTAGCCATCTATATAGGTGTTGCTTAGAATCCCATCTCCAACAGCTCTAGCGATAAACTGGCCCACCAACTGCAACAAAACAGAAGCATTTTTAAGTAAACGTTGAATCTCAAAGAAGTTTTAAGTAGATAATTATAATCTACTTGGTTTCCAGATTTTATTTAAATGAGCTGTCTCAAAGTAAAATCAGCCTCAGAAATTGGGTGAGGATTACAGACAGTAAGAAAATCAACATATATTTTTTTAAATATAGAGTCTATTTCAATTTAATCAATCTATTTTAGCCACACAAAACTTTTGACTACTGGCATAAAAATTTACAAATATACCTGTGGTGCCCTGGGAGAATCCAACACCAATTCAGGTAGTTCTTTAAGCAGTCTATCAAATGATTTTTCCACATCAGTTTTGCTTACTACTGTCCCACAAAGGTCGGAGATAAGCTTAGACGTCATTTCCCTGTGACTGGCCTTCCCCTCTAAGGCCAAGGAAACAGCCAGCACTGGCACACTGTATTTCATTTCACCGAGATTTAAATTCTTCAGCATCTCCTAAGAAAGATTTGAAAAACAAAATTTTTATTATTTAAATGTATAAATAGATTATAAATAAATAAATACATATTTATGTGCTTATATTTATATAATTACATATATGCTTCTGCTCAGGTAATAAATGTAACTGCTTGGGTACTCTTATAACACATTTCTTGCCAATTTCTCTATAAACTCATTTACAGCTAGCAACTGGATTACCCTGTATGCTACAGGTTTGCCACCTAAAACAAAGAAATAAAAAGGCATGTAACATACCGAAACTTCGTTAGTATCTCCATGTTCAAAATACTCCTGTATGATCGGTGTTAAAGTTTTTTCAAATGCTCTTTCATCCAGAGGTAAAACTACTGTTTCATAGTTCTCCTGTTTTAAAAGATAACAAAAGCATATCCCC